TCGCTTACAGTCACCCCCTGCTGTCCCTGACCACTGACCAAATTTGAATTACTTAATCCACCGGGTGTGACTGCCTCCTGAAACACAGCTTCCAGGTACTTCACCCCCTCCTGGATGTGCCACAGCGTTTGAAGCTCAGATTCCAACTCATCAACTCTGAGCCGAAGTTCCTCGAGCAACCAACACTTGCTGCAGATGTGGTCACTGCAGTTTGCAATGGGATCAGCCAGCTCCCACATCATACAGCTACAACACATCAGCCGTCCAGTCATTTCTACTTAGTTAATTACTTATTGAGTTAATTAATTTTATTGATACTTCTTGGCTGTGCTCTTTTTCAAATTTAGTGCCAATTTCCTCCCAGCGAATCCAGTCACAGCCTCCCTATGGCCTCACTCTAGCTTTTTCCCTTCCAGCTACAATGTGCCCTGACCTCCGGTAGGTTTATACTTACTCTGCTACTGCTGCTTGTGGTCTTCATAGTGGGTTTTTTTTTATTGGTCAGAGGAGGAGAGATGGAGGGAAACCCTGAAATAGTACTGTCCCTTGACAACACTTCCTCCACAAACCCGTGTTTGGTAGTGGTGACTGCACCAATGCAAATCTTTGTGGGACTGTATTAGGAACATGTTTTCGATACTACATTAAAGCTGTTGTTATTGTTACTTAAAGATTATATGATGAAAGGGGTTAATGAGATCATTTTTACAGTGTGTTTAAAAATTTTGATTGTGTTTTATAACTAGAAAATTTAGATTATTCTGTTTTTATTTATGTTGTTGATAAATTTCTGTTTTATTGTTAAAACATCTTCAGCATTTCATACTTGTGTTTCTGTGGGACAATCCCCCACCCCAATCCTCTCCATTAAAACCAGACTAAAGAAAAGATGATCCACAAAGCCAGGTTTTGATGTGGGCTCTGATATGCTCGGTAGGAACATCAACTGGGTCATAAGAGGGAAAGATTTCCTTCCCTAAAGGATATTGATTGTTATATCAATCCAACAGCTTCATGATTACTCCGCGTGTCCCCTCAACAAACTCTGGGCAGCACAGTGGCTCAGTGGTTAGCACTGCTGCCTCAAAGTTCCAGGGACCTGGGTTCAATTCCACCCTCAGGCAACTGTCTGTGTGGACTTTGCACATTCTCCCTGTGTCTGCGTGGGTTTCCTTTGGGTGCTCCGGTTTCCTCCCACAGTCCAAAGATGTGCAGGCGAGGTGGATTGGCCATGCTAAATTGCCTGTAGTGTTCAGGGATGTGTAGATTAGGTGGATTATAAGGAAGTGAGTCTGGGTGGGATGCCATGAGGGTTGATGTGGACTTGTTGGGCTGAAGGGCCTGTTTCCACACTGTAGGGATTCTATGAGATTTTGAGTTCTAACCAAGACCAATTGTTACAAATAGTTCCTACATGATGCTAATTTTGAAATGCATAAGAACGTAAAAAATAGAAGCTGAAGTCGGCCATTCAGCCCATCAAACCTATCTCACCCTTCAGTAAGATCGCAGCTGACCTCACACCTCAGTGCCACTTACTTGCTTTATTGTCAGTCCTAGCCCTAGCCCTAGCCTACTAACTCACATGTAATTTTTTTCATGGGGAATTCTCATGTGAAATCACTTTTGATACGGAGCTTAAGTGTGATGCAACATGATTAAATGTTTCTTTGTTCCGAGGCATTTCAATGAGTTTCCACCACGTGATTAGGAATGCAGAGAACCTTTTATTGTTTGGCATCTGGTGAATCCACTGCAGTGATGGACTCATTCTGTCACTTTGGTGCATCTTGTCGCTATCACTCTTGTTGATTCACCACATGAGGTTTACATTTACAAAGAGCAACATGAAGACCTTTTAAAACCTCCAGCAGCTATAGTTTAATACAGGATCTGAAACGTCAAGTCGCACGATCAATAAAAAGTTTAGGAAATACATTCAAAATTCTTCAGAACAGAAACTAAACTTAAAAGACTGCACCCATCCAGTTCAAGTCAAAAAAATCTTTTAAATAACTATCCTCTAGAGAAATGAACAAATAAAATATACATTTGAATTTCAGGTTGAATTAGGAGCAGCAGTTCAATGAGATTTTGGCTGACCTGATTATTCCATATTTCTGTCTATCCCTGATAAACTTGCACCTCCTTGCTTAACATGAATCTGTCCAACTCTGCCTTAAGAATATTCAAAGACTGTTTTAACTCCTTTTCAGGAAGAGAGTTCCATAGACTCATCACTTTCTGAGAGAAAGAACATTGCTTCATTTCTGTTTTAAGTGGACGATCACTAATCTTGAAACGATGACCCTTTATTCTAGATTCTCCCGGAAAGGGAAACATCTTTTCCACTCTTTAAAACAAAAAGGTCAAGACAACCCCACATCCCACCATGAGACTGCCCCCATCAGTCAATCCTGGGATGAGCACAACACCAGGTCAAGCCCAGAGCAAATCTCACTCTACCTGTTTCAAACAGAAAAGCAAAAGATTCCCCAACTTCTGAGGTAAAATGAAACTCCAGTGACTCTGGAAAAGGAAAAGCAACAAATAAACAAATAAAAAATGGTTTTTCTCGAATTGCCCCCACCAACCACTCATAGGGTAGGGACAACAATGGGTCAAAATGTAGAATAAATATTTCTTGATAAAATAACAGACCCCAGGGCTCTTGAAGGGAGTCAAAAATTGAAATAATGGGAAAATAAAACAGCCCTGTTCCTGGACACCAACCCAAAAACAAACACAACTCAAAAGGCAAAATAGAAACCTATCGTACAGAAATAAAATGATTTAGTAAATCAATATTTTGTAGTTTGGGTTTATGGTACATTCCAGCCCCCGTGGCACCCATCAGTCAAGAACGTCCTCGACCATGCCAGTGAGAACCAAGTGCTCCCTCTCCAGGGTCACCCGTGCGCGGATGTAACCACAATAAAGGGGCAGACAGGAACAACAAGCCCCTCTTCAGCCCGCTGCCTGGACAAGCTAATGGCCACCTTTACCAGGCCTAAGACCAAGGCCCTGAGAAGGCCTGTAGACTCGTCCAGCTCTCCCAGCAGCAGCTGCCCGTAGATCAGGAGTGTGGGGCTGAAGTGCAACCAAAATTTTAACAGCAGCGCATTCCAAAAAGGGGCTGCAGACAAATCCATTTAACATACAATTGGAAGCATCGTCCTCACAGCCATCCTGTTAAGATCCGTCAGGATCTTCTATGTTTTGATCAAGTCTCCTCTAACTTTTCTAAATTCCAGCCCAGCCTGTCCAACACTCCCTCAAAGGCAAACCACTTATTACAGGAATTAATCTTGTGAGCTGTGTCTGAACTGTCTCCAATACGTTAGAAATTTCTCTCTGAATTTGGAAACTATTTCATGCACCTGTATGGTGTATTGTTGAAGTAGAAGGATTGATCTAAATGGTTAATTCACAGCTTCTGTAAATGGTTGTAGTCTCATCACCCTGAGACAGGTACACCCAAGCAGTCACACCCAACCAAGTATGAAACATCTTTTCTGAAGAAGGGTCTAGGCCCGAAACGTCAGCTTTCCTGCTCCTCTGATGCTGCTTGGCCTGCTGTGTTCATCCAGCTCTACACCTTGTTATCTATGAAACATTGTGCACAGCTTGTGCACAGCAAGCAGCAATTGTGGTAAAGACCAGGTTGTTTGTTGTAATAACGATGGTGAAGGAGAAATATTGACCAGGACACTGCCCAAGTATCTAATAAACAGAAAAGCAAAATACCATGGGTGCTGAAATAAAAACAGGAAGTGCTGGAGAAACTCATAAGGTCTAGCAGCATCGGTGGAGAGAGAAACAGAGTTAACAGTGGTGAGGTTGACACAAAGAGAAGGCAGTGGGGTATGGACAGGTTCCGGGAGCGGTTAAAAACTTAGCAGATGGAAATAATGTGAGGAAATGTGAGGTTATGCCCTCTGGCAGGCAGAATAACGGAGTTGAATATTGTTTAAATGGGGAAAGGCTGCAGAAAGCTACAGCACAGAGGGATTTCGGAGTTCTGACATTTGAATTACAAAAACCTAATATCCAAGTTCAGCAGGCAATGGGGAAGGCAAATGGGACGTTGGCCTTTATTTCAAAGGAAATGGAGTATAAAAGTGACAATGTTTTGCTCAAATTATACAAGGGTCTCGTCAGACCACAACTGGAATGCTGTGAACAGCTTTGGACCCCTTATCTAAGGAAAGATAGATTGACATTGGAGGCAGTCCAGAGAAGAATTACTAGACTGAAACAAGGTATGGAGAGATTGTTTTATAAGGAGACTTTGAATACTTATCAGAGTTTAACAGAATGAGAGGTGATCTTATTGAATTATACAAGATTTTTAGGAGACAAGAGACGTAGAGAGGTTGTTTCCCCTTGTGGCAGTGACGAGGACCAGACAGCATCATCTCAAAGTAAGGAATCATATATTTAAGACAGAAATGAGGTAGAATTTCTTCTATCAGAGGAAAGTGAGTCTGTGGAATTCTTTACAGCAGAGGCCTGTCAAGGCTGAGTCATTCAGTATGTTCAAGGTTGAGATAGACAGATGTTTAATCAGGAAGGGAATCAAGGATTATGGAGAAAAGGCAAGAAAGTGGAGTTGAGGATTATCAGATCAACTGAGATCTCATTGAATGGTGGTGTAGTCTTGATGGATTGAATGGACTACTTCTGATCCTTTATCTCAAGGTATTAACATCTCAGATTGGTGACCTTTTATCTAATGTTCTAACACAGTGAAAGGGGAAAGATTTATAAGGGACCTGAGGGGCAACATTTTCATACAGTGGGTGGTGCATGCATGGAACAAGCTGTCAGAAGTGGTGGTGAAGGCAGGTGCAATAACAACATTTAAAAGACATTTGGATGGGCATTTGAGTCGGAACATTTAGTGGGAAATGGGCCAAATGCTGGCAAAAGAGAATAGATCAGTTTAGGATATCTGGTCGGCATGAACAAGTTGGACCAAAGGGTCTGTTTCTGTGCTGCATAACTCTATGACTCTATGATTCCCAGTCTGAAGCATTAATTCTGTTTCTCTCTCCACCAATGCTGCCTGAGCTGATGAGAGCTTCCAGTTTTTCTTTAATGCTGAGACCTTCCCTGGTCTTTTTCAGTGAGGAGCATTTACATCCATCTGAAAAAGCATACACAGCCTCAGATTTCAAGTCTCTGAAATAGGGTATCCCTGCCAGTGCAGCACTCCCTCACACTGGATTTGTGTTGAAGTCTTGTGAAAGTAGTGCATTGAACTCACAACCTTCAGGGTTGGAGCTAAACGTGAACACTCAATACCTCGGAAATAAATATCAGACAATGAAAGTTCTGTTGACGCTAGTGTCTTTGCTGCAACTTTTCAAACTCTGTGAAAAACTTCGCCACAGTTCGAAGTATTCCTTGTTGTTGAAGACTAGGATGAAGGGAGCGAAAGCAGCACTGCTGGTTCCTAAACAGGACAGGATGATGCGTGTCTTCAATCCACTGTTTTCCACAAACAACGAGACGTGGACGAAAACAATGTAAGGGACCCAGCAAACCAGGAAGGTGATAAACAGCAACACGATGCACTTAGCGTATTTGAAGTCCAGTTGTTTCTCAAGAGAAGCTGGGTCACTGTGGACAGCTCGATGCATCTTCTTAATTGCTTTTACATGCTTTCGTGCCACATGGAGGATTTGGCTTGTTATTGCAGTGATGGCTAAGATGGATGGGACAATTAAGCCATAAATCTCCAGGTAGATGTAGGCACGGGGGAAGATCAATTTGAAATAGCAATGTGTGGCACTGGGGCTCCAGTTGTTCCAGCCAAACAGGGGCAGCGAGGCAAACAGCAAGGGCAGGAGCCAGGTGGTCAATATGACAGCGGGGACATACTTGTGAGTCCAAGAAAGGCTGTACTGGAAAGGATGGATGATACAGACGTACCTGTCGTAGTGAACTACCAGCAGGTTGGAGAGGAAAGCGAGGAAGATGAAGTTTGGGAAGAGATGGAAAAAGAAGCAGATCTGGGAGGCAAACTCACTCTTGAGGTTCATCATGGGAATGGAAGGTAGGATGAGGCCGGTGCCCAGGCCAGACAACAACAAGCTCAGGAAGTAATAGTTGGTGGGGTTGTGCAGGCTCTTGTTGCCGATGATCCCGACGATGATGACCAGATTCCCCACGATGATGATGCTGGAGAGAGGAACCGCAAGCGAGGTGATCAGGGCCATCTGGGAAGCAAGGCATGCGTCTGGATTCGAGGTGTTGAAGCATTCTTCATCCCAGCTGGTATTCATATCACTCACCCTGGGCTGTACCTTCAGATGCAGAGAAATCCCATCAAATACCAAGACCACAAGGTGCAGGGCTGGATGAACACAGCAGGCCAAGCAGCATCATAG